TGGGTGGTTAAAAATGTGGTTAAACCATCTTATCATGTATATGTAGACCCTTCGGCCTGCTTCTATTTCTATTTTTTTCCCCAATGCGATGATATTTGCTCGGGGAGGGCGGTTCGTGACAGTGGGGGCCCTCTGCTGGCTCCGACAGCTTAACGGAGGGCCAGATGGGGGCGGGGCTTAGCGGAGGGTCAGTATCCCGAGCGAGGCCAGCCGAGCGCTGCGGACCGCTCCCCATCCGTTCACGTGTTCCGTGGGAACATTTTGGGTCGGCAAGTAGCAGATCAAAAGTCCACGACGCGACAAATGTCATCGAGTGGTTTATTTCCGCAAGATTTGGAGAGACTCATTTTCACAATGAGTCTCTCCGGCAATCTCTGGCAATCTTTTCCAGGCACTTCAACCCAGTGATGGAAAGGACACACGGATGAGTTATTAAGCAGCTAAATAAAAGAGACAACCATGTCTACCTGCCGCATGACCCCAAAGGCCCACACACCCCCCCCCCCCCCCCCCCCCCCCCAGAGGGGGGGTTTCAGGTTGCCTTTTCCCCCCCCACGGCGCCCCCAAAAAGGGATTTTGTAATTGATTTCAAAAAAGCGACCCTCGAAACGAATTCAAAGACTCTCAGTAGGCCTCCCGCCCTTAGGAAAGATTTCTTCCACTACTCAAGGTCTGTCCCGCTTTTAAAACTGAAATATAAAATATATGGATTGTGGGGGGGAGAGGAGAGGAGTGTTGGAAAAGCATTGCCATGGCAACAAAAAACAAAGCCTGGGTTTGGATCCGCAAGAGAGGTGTGCGATGAATGGATAGATCCAGACTTTTTTTTTACTTCCAGACGTATGCTTTTGTCAACGTAACAAACCGGGGAAGTGAGATGTTGAAAAAAAGACAATGACCGTGCATTTTCTCTCGGTTTTAATTCGCCACGCTGCTCACATTTTTGCCATTACCATAGAGATGACGGATCAGATGATTTATTCACTGATTCTGAATGAGTCCCAGCCCGTGCTGCCACCCACGTCTCTCCACCGTTTGCATGTTAAGTGTAAAAAGAGTGTACTGTGTGCTGTGTTTGAGAAGTCTATTTGGGTCGGTTTTCAATTTGAAGGGTGTCCATTTTCCAGAATGACAAATCCGCTCTGGGCACCTCTTACCAAACGACGGATAATGCAGCAGGTGGAGTAATTCCAGGTGCGCTTTAAAAAAAATATAGGCGGCATCCAAACACATGCAACTGCTTTATTCTGGGCTCAAATGCAGTCCTGCTTTTTGTAAGTGTCTTTCTTTCAAACTAGGGCAAAAAAGAAGAGGCAATATTTCGTAAAATGAAAAAGGAGGTGGGCTTTTGTAATCTGTAGCAAACCCATGAACAATCAAAGGAGAAAATGTCAGCAGGTGTTACTGTTAGACAAGATTCAACATAACACAACGCGTTGGACACAACGCAGGGGAGAATGAATCAGGAATATAGTCCAGAAGGAAACCGGTTTAGTAAGTAAGTAAGTTATTGGATGGATCAGAGAAGCAGATCGGTCACAGTTTTCTTATTTCTCATTTACCTGTACTTGTTGTTGGACAAACACTGGAACTCAACCCCGTGATTTGATGAAACAATATTAACAGAAGATCCACTTAATCGGACTTTCAACCACATCTCATGGTCCTCATCATCAATCCTTTACGGCTTAGATGAGCTAAATGCATAAACAGAAACACATACAATGAATTTATGGATTGATAATAATAATATTAACGTATGTCTTAAATATATAATATGTTTTGTATTATGGCTCTTCCCACAATTCTTTTTTGTATTTAAGTAACCTTGTAGCTCATTCTGGCGTATAAGAATATTTACTAATGTGCACACACCTTTTAATAAATAAAAAAATCCATATATAGATGGATAATATCCTTTGACAGTTTACTTGTATAGTGAATTAATATAGAAGGAGCACAACTACACACACCGTCTTGGCCACTTTCGTCGGACTTAAAATGTGCACGTTTCATGTTTGCACCACTGTCAGTGGTATTATTGCAGAGTGGTGACATGCATGAAGGAGCATTTAACCTCTTACACTTATCTCACTGCACAGGGCTTCCACTGTTTTGCCGAATCATTTGTAGACTGTGTGCTATAAATCCACAATAATCTGCCCTCTGTGGCAAGAGGAAGGATCATTATGCCCCCTTCTGATCTCAGCCCCACATGTGAACCAACACAGACAAATCTGAATAAAAGCAGTGTGTCTCACTGGGAAAGTCTAGAAATATACATATATTTTTTGGGAAACTGCATTTATATCCCAACATTTGCTTCAGTCTCAAAATTAAGAAAGTAAAAGCCTCCATGACTCTGGGGATTTCTTATTGAAATGTAACGTGAATTTGTGCCTTTATAAACTAATTGCTTAGTAAGCAAATTGAGTTGTCCTTAAAGACATCAAGTTTTTTAATCTACCTGTTTATCACAATTCTGAATTTCTCTGTTTTTATAAAATACTCAACATTAACGCTGATGTTTTTCAGTGATTTTGAGAAATGAATCAACATTAGCTGCCAAATCACAGTCCGGAGCACCTGCCGCACACTGAACAGAACAGCTCACACGTGGGCTCTGATTCCAATCCTCTGGCAGTCCGAGTAGGTGGTAAAACCGCCACAAAACCACTTTAAAATATAGAATAGTGTTTATTATCCTTGTCCACATGAACTGTACCTTTGGGGCGAAAAAAACACAACAACAACTCGCTAAAGCGGACAAAGACCTGGTCCGTTTCCAACAGAAATCCAAACCCAACGAACCCCTCCATTGGAGGGTGTAATAACACACGCGTGCTCTCTATGAATCTTTTGACTTCCACTTGGCACCAAAACGTTTTGTTTTTTTTTTGTTTTAATCATCCGCAGATTTATAGTGCACAAACTCATAGACTTCTTGCTTTGGTGATCTCACTTTCTGGATCTAAACCAACAGAAACCACCCAAACTTCAGTGTGCTTGGTTTTGTTTTTACCCTCAGGCTGATGCCAGTTGGGTGCTAAATCACCAATCTGCTGGGCACAATCGGCTCCTCCAGGAGAATCTAATTAGTTTGCGAAAAAAAATATATTCTGAGGTGGTTCTTGATATCACCGTTCTGAAGCCTTTTAAATGGATCCGGTTATGATGCATTTTAATCCGGCCGTACAGGGCAGCACCCACCACAGTTGCTGTTAATTGACACTTCTTGCAGAGTAACGTCTAAGAAACTGTGATAAATGAAGAATATTTGAGGTTCAATCCCTGAAGACTGAATGTGATCAGTCTTTCTTGGAAATACCGGCTACTATATAATATAATGTTCTGTCTTCTCATAAGCATCAGGTTTAAGTATTTTAAATGGAAAAGCTTGCAATTATGTAACCCTATTACAAAACACAATTTTGAGGAGAAATTAAATTCCTTTCCGTGCAAGTACCGTCAAGTGCTAAAAGCGCTCTTTTAGCTACACAATGGTGCTGGATATTGAGCCCCACCGTCTCTATACGAGCCCCACCGTCTCTATACGAGCCCCACCGTCTCTATACGAACCCTGTGCTCTCAGAATTCATTTAAAAGACCGTTCAGCCTTCACCGTTTGATTTGGTGGTTTGGAGGAATGTGGATTTGGGCGAATAGACGCCGGCGTTGTTTGATGTCTGGTGGGCAACCGGCACCTCGGAGGTCATCTTCTTCCCTCCTCATGTGGGGGAGAGAAGGCAGACGGACTGGACGGGCTTTTGCGGGTGAAAAGATTGTCATTTGGACGGGTAAATGAAAGAGAGTGAAAAGAGAGCGGCGACGGGGATGAAATAAATACAGATGGAGGCAATGTGGAGAAAAAATGTAAGGTTCTAGCCGCCACACATACTGTATTTGAAAGGGGTTGGAATGAGAGGACTGTATGAGAGAAGGAGAGAAAGAAAAGGAGACCAGGGGATGAGGAGAGGTAGAGTGATAGATGCACTATTTGATTTATGTAAAAAGCTGCGTGGGAGAAATGAGGTGTGTGTGTGTGTGTGTGTGTGTGTGTGTGTGTTGTGGTGACTGCAGAGGCTGAGAGCAAAAGTAAGTGCAGACATAGACTACCTGAGAAGTCAGCGTGAGATTGGCTGCAATGCTCCAGAAAAAAACAATTAAGAACTAACAAGAAAACGTGACCAACTTAAATAAGCAGAAATGTAAAAACTTCGTCATCATCCGGCCGATAATAATCTGTCCCGGATGCTGTTCACATATTTCTGTCTCGTCTGGTTTTCCCTTCCTAGCTGCACGGCTTTAGGGATGACGACGTCCGTCTGAAATAGACAGCCGTGCTACTTTGTTGCAGAACCAAACCTAAACGGTTGCAGACGTTCATGAGGAACTGTTATCCAGTGAACTCTACCAGATGCACACATGTCGATGCACAGTGTGTACATGTAAAGCAGAAAAATTTATTGAAAAATGTGTTTTAAAACCTCAAGAGCTGCCTTTTAGAGGTCAGTCGGATCGTCTGCTTGAGTGTAACTTCACAAGCGAGTTGAAGATGACGTTTGTGGCCGAATCCTTTGTTGATTCATCCCCCAAACGTGACTTTCATCATACAATGCGTGAACATCTATTCCCTTCGGGACAGTGATGCTCCCATCCTGACATTTTGTTGAGTCGTGCCACATTTATTCGAGGGTTCGTACCGTCAGTATATGCACGCATCCGACATTCCCTCTGGTTTTCTGATGCGATTTGTCGACGCTGCAGTGATTAAAACAGGCCGGCCGGGTCCACCGGGCCTCCTCCTCTGTACGTTTACGCTCTCTCCATCATCCATCAAGCAAAGGACGGGAGTTTATTCCCTCTCCGGACAGTTCAGTGCATTAGGCACCGACGCGCTGAAGGAAGTCAATAAGTGCTTTGTTTTTTTAATGCCCCCCCCCCCCCCCCCCCCCCCTCCTCCGCTAGAGTCTCACCTGTCTATCTTTCCTCTCTCCTAGACCATCGCGCCCGGCGGAAGAGCATAGCCACTGGGAAGCAGCCCAGCATGGAGGTCCCTCCCACTGCCCCAATTCAACCCTTCCGACAATCCGTGAGTAACCCCCCCTTTCCTCGGCCCCGCTCGCTGCCCCCGTCCCTCTCGCTGTCCCTCACCCCTCGTCCCGCCCCGGGCCCCCCGCACACCTGCGGCGGCTGGGCCAGCGGCACCCCGCCTCGCCCTTTCCCCCTCTCCCTGGCCGTATCTCCCTCCCCCTCCTCGCGCCAGCGGCAGCGAAAGGGCTCCAGGAGAGGGCCCGGCACGCCCCCAACGCCCCACTCGCTGCCCCTCTCCCCCTCCCCCTCCCTCTCCCTCTCCCTCACCCTGCCCCGCTCGCCTGCTGCCTCCTCCTCCTCCCCCTTCGCGTACTGGGGCGGAGACTGGAGGGCTGCCGGGTTGAGTCCAGTGGCGGGAGGAACTTTTATTGCTCCACTTCCCCCTGTTGAGGTATGTGACACGAACATGGCTAAAGCATTTTTTATATTCTTTTCTTTTTTTTTCTTTTCATATATATATCTTTTCATATATATATATATATATATATATATATATATATATATATATATATATATATATATATATATGATATAATTTCGCCTGTGGTCTCCGAAGTCTGAGTCAACTCATATACACTGAATCACAGGAGGCCATAGTGTGGAAGTCAAGTTATTTTCAAATGTATGTTCTTAATCATTTGTTTTAGTTAACAATTGCTTTTTAATTTTCCATGGTGCAAAAATCGATTAGTAGCCTCTTCAGTCGTATAGTCTGCTTTAAGGGAGGCAAACATGAGTAGGAAAAAGTGAATAAAAGCCCAGAAAGCATGTTGCTGATTTTTTCCAATGCTGTTTTATTTAGTTTTCATCTTCTTGTGTCTATCAGTTGCACATGTATGTATCTATTAGCATTATACGCGTTAGGTAATGTTTAAAAGGAAACCAGGATGGAGTTTAATCTTATAAGAAATAAATAAAAAACAGCAAAACAGATTACACCCGTTTGACGGCGGTCTGAAGTAAATGTGAAACACGCAAAACACCTGCTGTGATTCCTTAATGTCAACAGAAGTCAGGTAATAAAAAGAAAGTCTTTTTTTTATACCGGAGACAACTTGAGGAAAAGAGGGAAAGAGGAGCTGGCGGCAAAACACATTTTGTCTGCGGACCAAAATAATCTGTTTATTGTTTTATTCGTGGAAATAAAAACTCAATCACAAGGTACCAAACGTGCACATGAAAGGGCTTAAAGGATGGAGCGGTGGCTTATTACGTTTGTGCCCGTGTTCTTTGTTCCCCATCTCCCTCCCATTATTTGTGCTGGTGTCTGCACACAGTCGCTGTAACTAGAAGAGGCAGCATGCGTTCTCCTCCCTTCACAGGAAACTACCTGCTGCAGCACGAGCAGGTCCTCCACAGACCAGCGAATTACAGGAGACACGCAGAGTCAATGCAAATTAATGGTCAAAGTTTTGTGTTTTATTACGATTGAGTGTTATATTTTAAATTCTCTGATTGGATGACGAATCGCGTTACAGTCCGTTGTGTGAGCTGTGGTGTTAACTGTGTTTGTCCTGCATTGAAATCGAAAGTGGCCTTTTACTGACAAATAATAATACTTTTGTTTTTTATAGCGCTTTTTTCCAAAGACGCTTTACAATGTAAATCTAAGTAAGGGAAACGTACTTCAAATAAGTGAACACACCCATTTTGCATGTAAAGATCATCCTACAGGGTATTTTAGCAGTATTGCAAATATTATTTTCATGTGACATCACAGTCAGGCCTCATCTTTACAACTTCTCAGTAGCTTTAAATGTGAACAGTGACTTTACAGATGCAAACGCAGCGACTAAAGATAAAGCCCCCCCCCACCCAATTACCTCCCTCTATTGCGCTGTTTTGCCTCACGCTCTTTCCCTCGGCGTGTGCACTCAATGCTTTTACTCTCCGAGACTTAAAGTGTCGGACGGAGAGGCTTATCAAATCCGATTTAGTCATGCAGGCCATTAGCTTGGAACCAGCAGATGGAGCCAAGTGTTTAGTCATATCCTCAAGACAGGCTTCAAAGCCATTTGACTCAAGCCAGATGATGAGGTGTCATTTCCCTGCAGTCATTCTCCCACGCGAGGATGCTTTTGTGCTGTAGGTACATGAATGATGTTGCTGTGAGTCTTCAGGATGCACCTGAGAGCTCAGGAGATTCTCTCAGGCACAAAGAAAAAGCACAGAGTGCGCTTTGAGTTCTGAAGTTACCTTCACAGCATGAAAGCCCACATTTATGGTCTGCGAAAGTGACGATGTCATTGTTTAGCTTTTAAAAGGCTGTTGAAATGTCATCAAAATGTCACATCTTCTTTTTTTCCAAGGTGCATTTGCAGAAGTGACAGATCAGGTGGGCATACGAATGACTGATCATGACACAAAGTCAAATGGAGTTGAAGCTCCCTGCTATGCAGCGGTGGTGCTGCTGCTGTAGGCGGGTTTTAAGACCCAAACCAATCAGCACACATAAAAAAAAAACTGAAGCTTTACTAAAACTCAGGCGGGGTCACGCTCCTCCGTTATGACTGTGTGACTTCCTGCTCCGCTGCCTCCGATTGAGTCGTTCGCTCGCATGAGGAAGCTCCCGCGCGGCGAACTGGACCTGCACGTTGGACCTGAACGACTCAGCTTGTCGTTGGACTGTGCGGCTCACCACTGCCCACCACAGGACCTGTTACAGCACTGCAGTGGACACGCGTGTGGCCGTGTGATTCCCCGTTCATAATAAATGTACCTTGTGCTCTCTCCCGTCACGCATCGTGTGTTTCATTTGTCTCCATCTGGTTCTGGTGTTACTTGCAAACACGCCGGACACAAACCCCACCGACTCCCCGGGGATCCTTCTCATTATCGTCCTGCTCAAACCATCCCATCGTCCCTCCCTCCACCTGTTCGTGCCCTCTCGTGGTTCTCCTCCTCCACCCGCTGCAGAGTTTCCTCAGCAGAAGGTTGAAGGGCTCGATCAAGAGGGCAAAGAGTCAGCCCAAACTGGACCGAACCAGCAGTTTCCGCCACATGATCCTCCCCCGCTTCCGCAGTGCCGACCAGGACAGGTCAGTGAGGTCATTTCTGTTGTTGCGGGTTGACCTGCTGCGGCTGCCTTCGCGTGCACACAGCGTGCGTTCATGTGTGAGGTCACGTTTTTGTTTTTATTTTTCATTTGTGTCAAATGTGATGGAATCACAAACTGTCTACTTTGCCATCAAGGGAGACTTTACAAAGCAGGAAGTTGGGATGAGGCGCAGCGCAGGGAATCAATGTGGGTTTTATTAGACACGGTGGATGCGGCTCAGAGTTGAGTAATAATATTCTTATTTTAGGTATGCAGAGTGTATGGTTATGATGACAATGGTACATTCAAATGTCAAATCTATACAATTAAATTTATTTCTCTTTATTTTTATTATTTCTTATTTCATTCTGACTCTCTCACAACCAGTTTCTTTCTTTCTCTCTTTTCTCACCTATTTTTATCTCTTCATCTCAACCCCTTTTTTATCTATTCCCATCCACCCGTTCTTGTTTACTTTACACTCAAAATGTCACTTACAATAAAAACTCTCAGCGCCATCGCTGTTTCTCTGCCGAGCGACGAGAAAACATTTCCCTCTCTCCATGGCAACCAGCAGACAGCCACATGGCGGCTGTCCAGACCATAATGAGTCAGTGGGAGATTTGCTTAATTACACCTCCTCTGTATCATGTACATAGCTGAAGCAGCACTGGCATTGATCAGGCACAGCGGCACAAGACTCACACTGGTCATTTCTGAAATGGTCTCATTGTGCCAGGTTTTGTTTTGTTTCTTAGTTTTTGTTGCTTTAGTTTGCTCTGGTAAGTTTAGATTTTAAAGCAGAAACCGGAGATGTATGAAACAATCATTTGTGAGTTTCCAAGTGAGCTCGTCTTGCTGCTAAACAACTACGGTGCATTTTAAGTGTAGGCTCAGCCATGCGTCCTTTCATTATTCCGTTTTATCAACACTTTGAGTAAAGCCTCTTGCGCAGAATAAAAAACCTGCAGCTCCGCCTTGATGAATGGTAGAGATGTTATGACTGAAATGAATGAGGGAGGACATTTACTAGCAAATTAAGCAGAACATTTGGAAACCACTCCCTTAGAAAAGGGCCAAACCGCAAATAACAGTATTTAGTCTCTAACTGGATCATTTAGCCAATCACAGTAGTCGATTATACATTCAGTATAATCTGTGTTCTGTGTCGCCACAAAATACCCCAAAAATCACAATTCTCTAAAGCCCAACATAATGTCTTCAAGATAGTTTGCTTCATCCAACCAAGAGTCCAGAAGCCCAAAATATCCACTTTCACCGTCTGCACATTACACGCCTCAACAAGAAGTTTTGATTTGTTTGCTTTAACGATGGCCACTTTCATAGACTGTCAAAATAACTGCCACGTAATTGTCTGTTGATGAACAAATGAATGAATCCAGGAATAGTTCAGAGCGATAATTTGGTCCATTCAGTTGGTCTCTAAACTCCCGCTACAGCGAGGTCGTCCTGCTCGTGTAAGCGAGGGGCATCAGTGCAGCGAGGAGAGAGCCGGAGCCGCGGCTCTGCAGAGGATGCATTCACTCGGGGAGGTTTTCGGATGTCTGAGAAGGCAGAAAACGGGCGAAATAGTCAAGAGCCGAGGTTGAATGCCGTCGTCTCAGCCCCCGGATGTTTTCTCTCAGGCATGTCGGGGAACATCTGGAGCGTTGATCATTGTTATTCCCATTTGCTGAGAGGACCTGCTGCTTTTCAACCAGTCTGACAGTCACACTGCCATAAACGTGCCTCTGAGCTCCCAAACGGGCTCTAAAACAAGGATATATTGTATTTTCTGAAAACATTTCGTTGGTGCAAATACCCAAAAGGTCTGAGAGTTCCCTTCCTATGAAACACTTTCAGTCCCCCCGTCATATAACTCACACATAATTATTCCGTATGTCCGTTTCAGTGTCCCGTGATCACCTGCAGGAATAAGTCATGCGCATATTATAATCCTCAAGTATGCGATTAATGTGAACGAGATTAACGCGACAAAATATTTTAACGTAGTTAACGTACGTTTGTTTGCTTCCAAGTAAACCGGAAGTTGAACGCGGAAGAAGAACGGCCGCTAGCTGCAGTCGGTTACATCGAGATGGAGAGAGCTGTTTAGCTAGCTGCTAGGCTAGGCTAGGTGCTAGGTGACCGCCGTCTCATCATCTAACGTTGTAACCCTGCGCGGCACACGGTCTGCAGACGACCACCACCGTGTCCCTAAAAAAACGTGGTTTGAAAACGTCCTGTGGGGAGATTGTTGCCACTTCAAACACAGACGTTAAATGATGGCGAGTTGAGAGCAAAGTGCACGAGGACGGCAGGAAGAGCCGCTAGTTCGACATGATCCACCCGGTGGAATTCTGCCTCAAATATGTGTAGTTTTGTGTTTAAAATAACATTATCAATTACAACAGTGTCTAAAATACACACTTTCTAAAGTGATTGCGCATTAAGATTTAGTCTTTCGATAAAAATAAACATTCATTAAAAACAACATTGTAGCAAAAACTAAAGAGAAAAAAAACAAAACCCCAAAAAAACGTTTGTATTAAATGTTTGACCTTTTTGCCTGTATTAACTCAAAAACAGAATATGTTTTGGGCCAACGGACTAATTATTAATTGACTTAATCGTTTGTGCTCTACACTCAAACTTTAGTTGAGTTAAATTTCTTCCTGCAGCAAAGCACGAAACGTGTTTTCAATATTAGAATCATCTGCTAATTGAATCCTTGTTTCTGGCACTGAGGTCGTTTTCTCATTGTGTTGTGCGTCTGTGTGTGTATGTGTGTGTGTGTGTGTGTGTGTGTGTGTGTGTGTGTGTTTGTTCCTCTGCATGTTTGACTTTACCTGCTTCGACCTCCTCAGTCCATCTTTCCTCCTCCCTTCCCGTCCTCTCATCTTCCTCTGTTTATATAATCAAAGCCACTTCCCCCCGAGACGTCTTCTCCCTCCGTCCCCTCACCACTTCCTCTCCTGACCTCCCCCACTCTCCCCCACTCTCTCTCTCTCTCTCTCTCTCTCTCTCCCTTCTCCTCTGTGTTCCCCCCAATCTGACTCATTCCTTTGCATCTATTTTTATCTCCCTCTCCCTCTCTCTCTCTCCGTCTCCCCCCTGGTTCCCTACATGTAATCAGTGCACCGGTGATGAACAGTATGATTGAATGTCGGGTTAAAGCGGTGCGAGCGCCGGGGAGAAGCCAAGAGTCGGACGCGGCACCGAGGACTTATACGGTGTATTTCTTTTTCTTTCGCTCTTTTTTCCTCCTATTTCCATCCTCCCTTTCCTCCTGCGAGGGGCTTGGTCACACCTCAGCGTCCCTCCTCGCTCTCCGGGTTGGACGCGCTGTTTCATCATACGTGTGTTCTAGTGACTGGTGGTGGTACATGCCTCCCTGCATGCGTGTGTGGGAGGGAGTGTGTGGGTGAGAGCGTGATGGAAAGGGCTTCAGAGGAAACCTCGTTCTCTTACTTCTGGGTCTGGATGAGTGTGGAAATATTATTAGGAATCATTTTTGATCTTTAGATAGTGTTCGTACAGTTCCACATGTTTTGCCTGCAGGAGAAATACCAGTTACATCCGTTAAGACAACCACATAACTAAAATCATTTTATCGAGCAAAATAGATAAACATGGAACAACATATTCTTCTGGCTGTGTATGAAGCTGTCATGACACAAGCAATTATTTACACTGAAACAAAGGACATAATGAAGAAATGATATTATTGAGTCCCTTTGCTGTCCATTCCATCTGCTGGATTTTCTAAAAGCGTTCTGCTAATGACCTGTGTGCTATTAGAGGATCGCTTCAAAGCTGCCTGTTAAATTATTCAAAATGAATAGTTTCAAAATGTTCATTATTTTTCATTGCCTGAAGTGCAGCGCGCTCTTTCTCTCCTCGTGTCCCTCAGCATCACAAGGTTACTACCGCGGCCATCAGTCATTACGCGGCGCGTAAACTTGTGGACAAGCGCCGTCCTGCATTCTCTTGCACACGCGACGCGAAATGAAAGAGCCTCCTTCCGGTCCCCACGTCTAACCACCGCTAACCCTCCTCCCAGGACCCGTTTGATGCAGAGCTTCAAAGAGTCCCACTCCCACGAGTCCCTGCTGTCCCCCAGCAGCGCCGCCGAGGCGCTGGACCTCACCCTGGACGAGGACGCCATCATCAAACCCGTCCACTCCAGCATCCTGGGACAAGAGTACTGCTTCGAGGTGAGAACTGCACGCTGCACAGTAACGGTAAATATCACCCAACAGCGTTGTTCCGTGTCGGCGATGAGAAAAGTGTCTTTTTTTTTTTCTTTTTACATGTGAGGAATGAAAGAAACAATGAGCCCTTTTACGAGGGTGTCACCTTCTTCCCACCATCTCTCCATTAGCGGAGCGCCGCCGAGAGGTCCAGAGTGACTGCACGTCATTGTCGTGGCGCCTCTCGGTCGCAGTCTCCATAGTAACTAATGGCTGTGGTTGATGAATTTACCGTTGGCTATGACCTCAGGTGACCACGGCGTCGGGAACCAAGTGCTTTGCGTGTCGCTCGGCCGCAGAGAGAGACAAATGGATCGAGAACCTGCAGAGAGCTGTCAAGCCCAACAAGGTGAGGGGAGAGAAAGGGATGCGGTAGAGGTAGAAGAAGTAGGAGGATGATCCCTCTGTCTGTGTGTCTCTCTCTCTCCTCCCCCCTCCCCCCCGTCTCCCGTCGTTGTCTGTTTCCAACAAGAGCGCAGCGCCTCACTGCTCTGTGTGGACTCCCATTTATTTTGTGTCTTTGTGTGTGTGTGTGTGTGTGTGTCTGTGTTGAACCGTTTTAGTCGCATCTCCGCGCAAACGAATCACAGTGGCGTCGCAGGGCGGAGGGTCCAAATCGCTGCTTTCTCAGAAACTTTCGACATCCACAAATGGGGGCAATGTGATGTCATTAGATGGGACGCAGCGGGCTGGTTTACCAACGCAGCGCGTCAGTGGGACTCGGTGCTGGAGCGTCCCGCAGAGGGAAGAAGGAGTCCAGGTGATTTCTCACTGAGGGCCTCGTGCAGGAACCACTTGAAATAACAGATGTTGTTCTTAATTGCTGGTAAAAAAGCCAGCAATTAATGGAGATAAGAGATTAATGGCATTTACTTATTTTCTCGCACAGTGAAATTCCTAGAGGCCCTAAAACACAGAAGGTTGTTTTTTTTGCATTGACATTCATACATAATGCCAATAATAAGTATCAGGGTCAATAGTGTGTGTTTTTTAAAGCTTTTGCAGGGCAAGTAAAGGCATCAGCCAGTCATGTTGTGCAGAACAGACATACTCAGAGGTTCCACTTACATTGACAGGCTTTGTGGTCCACGGGAGGAACAAATCGGTTCATTCGACTTCATGTGGCATCTGGGTATTTTCTTTAGAGTTCTACACTCGGATGGAAACCTTTGTTTGTTTCATGCGTCCGCGAACAACTTTTACAGTCACAATACCTCGACCTAAATGCCTGGATCCTATTCTGAAATATAGATCTAGGGTTGAAGGTTTTAAAAATGTATGATTTCTATATTTCCGTTGTAAAGTTCACAGCCTCTGGGTGGTTGATGCTCTGTGGCACCCGACAGTTATTCACCCACCGGAGGCCATGAGGATAATCCGTGTAATGTCTCCACGGCCCTCATGTCCCTGTGACCTGCTCTCATTGCAGTCATGAACATTCGTGAGATGAGGGATTTACATAAAAGGTTTGGTGAATCCGTCTTTGATCTTCCCTACGGACGAACCTCGCAGAAAATAAAAAGTACGAGGTGTGGGATGAGAAAAGGAAATGGTTCTTGCATTTGGCCCAATGACAGCTGGTCGTTCATGTGACAGATTACAGTCGTATCAATGCAGATGAGATGCAGCTCTTCGTTATGAGTTAAGCGGATATTAAGGTGTATTCTCACATAAAAGGTGCAGCTTTCAAGGCGCTGCGGCTGTTTCCGTCCTCGCGGCTTAAAAAAACAGCAAATCTCAGCCCCTCATATCGCGGCTCAAAAACCAATATCCTAATTTTCCCCCAGATTTCATATTTCAGCAAAATTGTCCCACATTTCCCCGTCGCTGTTATTAAAGAAAGCGAACGGGCGACGCGGCCCTGATGTCAGCCGAGGACTAAGAGTTATTAAGCCAGACTGAGATGAAACGCTGCCCGAGCCGAATGCCTGGTCCAGATGCTCGGCCCGCGGGGGTCCTGGCTGAGTCACGGAGCTCCAAGGACACACGGGGGCTCTGTCTCCACAGCCGCGTCCCTCCCGCCCCCAAACAACACGAGCTTCCGAGCCCAGATGCAACGACGGAGATGAGACCCACTGCCGAGACAAAGATAATCATAACGGTTCTTAACCTTCTGGAGCCTTTTGATTCCCTCTTTGAGCTTCGGTTATTTGTTGTGGGACCAGCCACTTTCGACCCGCTTTCATGTTTGGACCAGTTTTCTTTCTGGTTGCAAAATCGAGATCTGAGTGTAACCGTAAAATATGTATGCGGTATCAAGGCGGAGCACTCGAGCCCACGCTGGGGCCGCGGCGCCCAACGTGCTCTTGCAAACTGAGCCGCCAGATGCCCGGCGCATTCAGACTCAGGCGATGGGAATTAATTTGACGCCTTGTGTTGTTTGCCGCCGGTCATCAAAGAGCATGCAAATGGGGAACTTAGGAGCTGGTACTCGCACATTGACTCGTACGAAGCAATCAATGGTGTTCGGGCCCAGTGGAAATGGGTCAGCCCGCCGCCGCGCCCCCCCCAGGACCATCACTCCAAACACGGCACTCCCTCCTCCCGTGGGGGATGTCAAATATAGCTCGGCCTTCGTGAGCACGATTGGGGAGCCGAGATGTCTGCAGAAACGTTGCCACCATTGTTTGTCCCGCGTCTCTGCAGCACACCTGCATCGTGTCATTTGTGTCCTTGTGTACGTTTTTTAAGTGAACTACTTTTATTCAGCCGGTTAAACTGTTCACGCGGTGTTGTTCTTCACGCTTTTGTTGTTGTTGTTGTTGTTGTTGTTGTTATCCCTCTTTTTCTGTGTCCTTGTCACGCTGACGTATGTTTCTGTGTTCCAGTCCAGAGTTTAGATCACTTTGCAAAAGCCGACGATTCGCCATGTCGCCACCTACGTCCTGTCATTTCCTCCCGCAGGCCGACCAGCTGCCGCCCTTTTACCCACGCACGCACACACACGCACACACACGCACACACACACGCGCACACACACACACACACACACACACGCCGTCTCGGTTTCCATACCTCAGAACTCTTCTCTTTGTCGTTTGCCGCGCTTTTCCATCTTCCCCTGTCCCCTGCGTTTTAATACACCGGATGCACTTGACTCCCACCCCCCTCCCCCCTTTGACCCGACTCCCGTCCCCCGTCCCCCGTCCCCCCTCCCCTCCCCCCCCCCGCAGGACAACAGCCGAAGGGTGGACAACGTGCTCAAACTGTGGATCATCGAGGCCCGCGAGCTTCCAGCCAAGAAGCGCTACTACTGCGAGCTGTGCCTGGACGACATGCTGTACGCGCGCACCACCAGCAAGCCCCGCACGGACACCGTGTTCTGGGGCGAGCACTTCGAATTCAACAACCTGCCAGCCGTCCGCAACCTGCGCCTTCACCTGTACAAGGAGACGGACAAGAAGAGACGCAAGGTGACCCGGGGCGCCTGTCGGGTTAACAGCGCAGGTCCGACGAGGGCTTGGCGTGACAGCAGCGGTGACACGGGACTTATTGCTTTAAGATGAAGTGGTTCTCTGTCGCTGTTCTCATGGCTGCGTTCTCTGCCCCATTAAGCAGCTGTTTTCAGCAGGACCCCCCCTCCACCCCCCCCACGCTTTACTGTACCTACTCAGCAGCAGACAGACACAGCTGGTAGACAACTTGGCAGCAAAGGAGTTCCCTCCTAAATTTAGACTTTTGGAAAAAAAAAAAAAAAAAAGTTTCCACATGAAGGTACAACAGGATGAAAAATGAACTAAAATGTTCATTTTAAAGTTAGTCGAAAGTGTTTCTTCAATATTGTACAACAGAATCAGTCCAACTAAGACGAAAAAAAGAGAAAATAACATTATGCTAAAAGGCTGCTTCTTCATTCAGTGGCTTATTAATGAAATTGCCAACAGCAAAATGGGGCCTTGTCTGCAGTGGCACCGCTTTTTATCATTTGCGTTAATGGCTTCATAACAAAATGCTTTGGGTTATGCGGCGTCCTGAGTCGGGGGTTGGAGGGAAGCGGGAGGGTCTTCAAACCGCAGCGAGTCCGTCCACTAACAGAGTAAGGGCTCCAAACGAAGACAATCCAGAAACATTTTTAATTAATGACGTAATCATTGAGTCATTGCTGTGGATCAGCGACCCGATCAGCCCCCCCCCCCGAAACGTTTTACGGTTTGTCACTTGAGGAAACAACAGGAAAGCAACTAATTTCTATCTCCGACCGATGGTCCAGCGGCTTACCTCGACCAATACCTCCTGTTTGTTTTTTTTCCCGAAGGAAAAGAGCACATACTTGGGGCTCGTCAGCATCCCCATCTCGAGCATCACCGGGCGTCAGTTTGTGGAGCAGTGGTACCCGGTCATCCAGCCCAGCGTGCTCACTAAGGGAGCTGGAGGCGGCGGGGGGAAGATCATCAACGCATCCCTGCGCCTCAAGTCCCGCTTCCAGACCATGAACATCCTTCCCATGGAGCTGTACAAGGAGTTCGCGGAGTACGTCACCAATAACTACCGCACCCTGTGTGCTGTGCTGGAGCCCGTGCTCAGCGTCAAGAGCAAAGAGGAAGTGGCCTGCGCGTTGGTGCACATTCTGCAAAGCACCGGGAAAGCAAAGGTAAGGGGCTCCTTAAGGTTGATCCTCAAGCCTTTTTTTGGTTCTGCAAACAGGTTTGTATAAAAAAATACATTTAAAAAAATAACTGTTTGTCCAGGACTTCCTGTCAGACATGGCGATGTGCGAGGTCGACCGATTCATGGACCGAGAGCACCTCATATTCAGAGAGAACACTCTGGCCACGAAAGCCATAGAAGAGTACCTCAAGCTGATCGGACACAAGTACCTCAAGGACGCCATAGGTGAGCCGCAGCAGCGCGTCGCTGGGTATACTGGTGTATTCTACCAGTTTTAGTCTGGGTGTTGGTAAACACAATCTAATACACGTTGAGTGGCACTTTTCATACAGACACTGCAGCTCAAACTGCTCTCCATCAATTTGAATATATTTCAAAACACATCAATGTAATGTAGAAGATAACATAATGAATGAAATTAAATAGTTTCGGGTAGAGGGATGATAATGAACTTTAGAATAAGATTAAATGAAATGATTAAATTAAGACAATGCCTAAAATAGACAATGTAAAGATGCTCAGATGGGTGTCAGAGGCTCTCTTTAACTTGTATTCTCATGCATATTTAAAAATTGTTAGTCAACACCAACTCCGAATCAGTCTATCAAGATTAGAAAAAGGATTTCATAGAATTTTTCAGGCGTAAAATCGAGGTCTTAAAGTGTCTTTCCAATGTGCTTAAATCATTGACTATAACTGCATCGTGTCTCTTAAGGACACTGCAGTTGATGTATTGAATACTTTGCCTTTACCTTTTTGTACTGCTGGTTGTTTCTGTAATAACGTCGCTGAACTGATCCGTTTGGCCGTTACTAATGAAATATCATTCGTAGGGGAGTTCATAAGGGCCTTGTATGAGTCAGAGGAAAATTGCGAAGTGGACCCCATGAGAACCCCCCCCTCCGTGCTCCCAGACCACCAAGCCAATCTCCGCATGTGCTGCGAGCTGGCGCTCTGCAAGATCGTCAACTCCCATTGGTGAGTGTGGTCGCTGCAGCGCTCCGCCGCAAAGGTGCATGACAGCTGGCGACAAAAGTGAGTTCCCGACTCCTGACGCGCGGTGCGTGTCGCCTCCTCAGCGTGTTCCCTCGAGAGCTGAAGGAGGTCTTTGCCTCCTGGCGAGTGCGCTGCGCCGAGAGAGGCCGGGAAGACATCGCCGACCGGCTCATCAGCGGCTCCCTCTTCCTGCGCTTCCTGTGTCCGGCCATCATGTCCCCCTCGCTCTTCAACCTCACGCAGGAGTACCCCGACGAGCAGACGTCCCGCACGCTCACCCTCATCGCCAAAGTGGTGCAGAACCTGGCGAACTTCTCCAAGTCAGTGTACTACTTGTGTTGTTTGTGCGCTTTGCATCCAAGTCCTCAACCGGTAGACGGCGTCTGACATGAACATCAAGCAGAAGTCATGATTAATCCAGTTGGTAAAATGTAGGAGCAACCGATCCAAAACAACAACACTATGAAACAACGTGGGTTTAGTTCAAAATACTAACTAACTGATACCTAACAATGTTGATTTAATCTGATTCATTTTTGCCCTTCCATTCTGAAATCATGACGTGGAGCACAATTTATCACAACTTGTTGCTGTTGACATTTCATTTTCCCGCCAAAACAACGCTCACAGTTTTTTTTCCGATATTTTCTCGTCCCTTTCCCCTTTCTCACCTCGTTTCCCGTCTGCAGGTTTGGCAATAAAGAGGACTACATGTGTTTCATGAACGAGTTTTTGGAGATGGAGTGGGGCTCCATGCAGCAGTTCCTCTACGAGATCTCCAACCTCGACAGCGTCAGCAACGCGGGCGGCTTCGAGGGCTACATCGACCTGGGCAGGGAGCTGTCCATCCTCCACAGTCTCCTCTGGGAGGTCATCGCTCAGCTCAGCAAGGTAAACCCGAACATGGCGCGTCCTCTGTGCCGTTCAAAAAACACACGCTTCCACACTCGGACCTCGACAAAACCATTATTGACGCCACATTTTGAGATAATAAGAATATTCAAATTCATGTAACATTAACCCTTTTTATTTGTTACTACGATTTTTCACTGTTTTGACACAGGACTTTTAGATCAATTATCTATTGTCATTATTTGGTAATACCGCTGTGTTTTTAATCACGTTGCCATTCAGGTAAATGAATAATAGCAACACATGATAATATAATGCACTCCGGTAGAAAAATACTGATGGCAACAAAAGTTGTACAGCTCTCGTAAGATAACTCAAAAATCAATTATCTTTTGAATTCCGCAGCAAAACTCAGCCAAAATGGTTTTCTTTGAACCACAGGATGCCATCATCAAACTGGGTCCTTTGCCCCGCCTCCTGAATGACATCAGCATGGCCCTGCGCAACCCGCACCTGCAGAGGCAGCCCAGCCACCAGACCGACCGGGTGCAGGAGAGGCAGGCAGACAGGCTGCTGTCACGGCCGAGCTTCAACAGGGGAATATCCTCCGAGTTCCAAAATCTCATGATGAGGGATCTAAATAGGTAGGCCGCGTTCATCTGTAAATTCTGAAACTTTCGATCTGTCGGCCTTTTGATCTGTCCGGTGTTGTGTCGCATTGAGAAGTATCGACCGCCTCCAGCGACTTCTCAGTCTCCCATCTTCAGCTTTTGTTAGACCTTACTCACCGCTGTCCTCCAGCTCTATAGATATCACTCGCTTGCCTTCCCCCACCTCCACCGGAGGGGTCATGCCATCCCGCTCCCAGATGAATTTTCAGGACCGCGACCACCTCCAACGAGCGTCCTCCAAAGACATGTTTTACGTATCGCGCCCTCCCCTGGCCCGATCCAGCCCGGCCTACTGCACGAGCAGCTCGGACATCACGGAACCAGACCCTAAGGTGAGTTTGATAACGCTGACTCGGGGGGAAATCACCATCCCATCCACTAGGTCTGTCTTTGCCAAAGGGAGGTTAGTGAGACATGCATGGTCGCCATACGTGATAGAATCTGCCATCGTGTGACAGAGGCTCTAGTTTATCATGACATCTGCTTTTTTTTTTCCACTGATTCACCACGCAACTCATCCCTAGCGGTATTTCCTGGGAAATACTTCCGATATCCAGGCCTCGCGGTAAAAAAAAAACTAAAAACGCCCGCACCACCCTCACCCATGTCATCCGTGGCCACGTAACATACATAATGTCAGGGAGCCTCCCGCATCCCTTTACACTGCTCAGTGTCAATAAAAGCGTGTCAATGATGGACCTCCGGGATTCCCGAATGAACAGCGTGTCTAACCTGCAGTCGGTGGACATGCTCAACTCCTCCCAGGCCTCCATCGCCGGCATGGGCAGCTTCGGAGGGCTGAGCAGCGGAGGCGGTGGCGGCCTGGGGTCGGGCCTGAGCAGCCAGCTGCGGGCCGGTGGGAGGTTGTCAGCTGGCTCTGGCGGCTCCAGCATGTCCGGCGGCCTTCGGCTGAGCCAGCTGAGCCAGATGGGCAACACCACCGACTCGCTATCCCAGCAGCAGCAACAGCAGGCCGCCGCCATGCGCTACCCGCTTTCCTTCCAGAATCCCCTCTTTCACCTGGCGACCGCGGACGGGCCTCAGCAGCAACAGCTTCACCACCAGCACAGCCGGGCCCAACCTCCGGCGCCACTGCTGCTGACCCCGGAGCCCGACCCCTCTCACCCGACCTACATGCCGCAGTTCGCCCACGGGGGGTTCTCTCGCAGCGAGGACCTGTCCACCCTCAGGACCAGGGACGGTCACCTGGGACAGCCGAGCATCATCCACTCCCACAGCTACAGCGACGACTACAGCCGGGCCGAGTACGGACGCCGGCAGACGTCCATGAACATGCAGGTGCGCGCGTCTCCGTCGCCATCGTGGCAGAGCCACTTGTGTCTCTTTTTAAATTACTCTGTACGCGTCATGGTTTCAACTGTTTGTATTATTGTTTAAATAGATTATGCTTTTTGCTGCTGCTGGTCAAAGTTGTCATTTCTTTTCCTTTCAATAGATACGAACACAAAGCAGTTGCCGTAGTTGATCAATGATAAATATGTAACTTTTTGTGGGGCAAACTTCAGCCACGTTTGACAGACAAATTGAATTTATTAGTCATTTAGTTGACAAGCAGAATATCAATGAATGATGTCATCATTGCTCGATGCTTGTTCTCATCATCTTCACAGGACTGTTTGTCAAGCAAAGAGATGTCACCTTTGTCTTAAATATTTTTACAACAGAAAAACACTTTATTTAAAGTAACATTATCTGACCCAAAATGAGCTGAAACAATAATAAAAATACTCGTTATTCACAATTTCCCCTCCTTAGGATAACCTCCAACAGCAACAACAAATGATGGGCATGACCTCCCAGACAGGAACCTCCCACTCCTCGCTGGCCGCCACGCCCCCCTCCACGGTCCTACCCGTGCGCCAGAGTTCAGTTGCCCCGCCCCCGCCTCGCGTCAAGTCCCAGACGTCCCACCAGCTGTCCGTCAGCGCTGCCGCCGCGCCGGCCGCTCTGGCCAAGACGCGACCGCCGAGCGCCAACCTCCTCCAGTCGCCGGAGTCCGGCTACGGCGGCAGGCAGCACGGGGCGCGGCAGCTGTCGGTCAAAGACAACACGGCCCCGGGCCTCCCCCACCAGCAGAGCTCCGCCAGGGAGAGCCAGAGTCCGCAGGGGACCACCGGTCAGAGCGCTCAGCAGTCGCCGCAGCAACAGGCTCAGCAGCACCTCCTCAAACCCAGCATGAGCAAACAGGTAACACCCGCACGCCTCATCTCCGGCTCGTTCGGTTCTTCTCTATCGGCGACTGTTTCTCAGCGACGTGTGAAAGGTTTCAGCGAGTGAGGGCACGAGTCCTCCGCATTAAAAGCCAAATCCTCGTGAAAGTGACTCTCGTCCATTCACGAAACTCTCGTTCTCACATTCAGCGCGCTGGTTTTTCTTCCCAGGGCTCCCAGACTCCGTCCACGCTGAATCCTCCGACCCCGGCCAACGAGCGCACGGTGGCCTGGGTCTCCAACATGCCTCACCTGTCGGCCGACATTGAAAGTTCGCGGATTGACCGAGAGGAGTTCAAGCTGAAGGAGTACTCGAAGAGCATGGACGAGTCGCGCATGGACAGGGTAGGTGTTACTTCTTATAATTTTTCACATTTTGTTTTCCTGCTCGGAGGAACATTCTCACACCGCCAAGCAGATGGCACCCGGATCCGGTCCTAACACAAGTCCGCAGGTCCCGAACAGTGTGGGAAACAGCAGCAATCGGCAAAGTGATGAGATGTTTTTCAGTGTTTCAGCCGTATTCACTCTGCATCAGCGTCATCCTCTTCTCTCTGCCCCAGGTAAAGGAGTATGAGGAAGAGATCAACTCCCTGAAGGACCGCCTGGTGATGTCCCACAAGAAGCTGGAGGAATATGAGCGGAGGCTCCTCACGCAGGAGCAGCAGACCAATAAGATCCTCCTACAGTACCAGAATCGACTTGACGACAGTGAGAGGAAGCTACGACAACAGCAAGTGGAGAAAGACTCCCAAATTAAAGGAATAATTAGCAGGTAAATGGAGGCTGCTGTTGGGATGGAGGGAAAAAGACAGCTCAGACATCATGTGGTGTTTTGATTCGGGAAACACTGGCATTGACTTTATCTTTGTATATTGTGACGTCTTAATTGACTAGATGAATTTTCTTCCATAATACATGAAAAAGTGACATATTTCTCTCAGATGAAGACTGCTGGCATTAATTAAAACGCATGCTTCGGAGGAGAAAGCGGAAGGTGTCTGGTTGAGACACTATAAACCTGCATATCGGATTCTCTTCCACTCTCATTTAAGAGTGACGACGGACATGAAAGCTGTAATGGTTTTTCCTTAAAATGCATTTGTTTCCTATCGGAATAGAACTCTATTTACAGGGGTTGTTATCTTGCAAAGATTGTTGAAGAGCAGACGGTTGTTTCAGTTTCAATAAGTACTACAGTGCTGGGAGCAAGGCAGGGAGTTGCACTGCAGACACGTAGTGAGGAACAAATTGAAATATAAGGGACACAGATATAGTGTTTGATAAGCTTGCAGCGTTGCGGCTGAGGGAAGTTGGACGGAGGATTCTTTAGTTGTCCCCTTAGCTCTTGTTGAAGCGAATCTGCCTTCATAACATGATTCACTTGTTATTCAGCAGCATCATCTTCGAGCTGATATCATTGAGCCCACGTGTGGAATCATAATGGCTCAATTTTAAGTTTTGATGGATTGACCACAACGTTAATTAGTTGATGGGTAAAGAGTGGAATGTTGATCACGCCGCAGTTGCGCTCGGGCGTGGAACCCAAACGCTGGCTGTGTCTCAAGGATTCCGTGAGCATTGGAAGTAGTTTTATTGAGGAAGGAGTTCAGATAGAAAGGCTTTGTGATTAGTCTGTGGTCTGAAACTGCAGGCTGGTGATCTGTGACAGAGAATGTTGCCCCTTCTAATCCGCTCCAGGAAAGAAGACGTGGAATGAAGACAGTCCTGCTCGTCTTTTCATGGGGAAACAATGCGTATAGAATCGCCCTTAAAACCCCCGGTAACACTTGTGCTGCTGCACTTATCGTCACCCATCAACGCGGCTTGTAAGTGGATGCCGGGATCACTTCAGATGATTCCCCTTAGCTTCGATTGACTCTCCCACGAGATTGCACTGTAAAAACACAAGAGGATTTTAAAGTTTGAAACATGTCTGCACTTTTTAAAGCAGCACGTTGTTTTGGACCTTCACAGGACTGTGGGGGGAAAAAAAAGAGCTCTTCCATTTTAAACTCAAGTTGAGCCACGTTCACTGAAGGACTGCTGACGTATGTCTCTACCTGGGGGCCGACACCTCTCTCTCTTTTTTTTCTTACAATCCCACCAAGCTATGGGTGTAATACAAAGAGGTGGGGGGGAAGTCTCAAACAATGGCCTGACGTAGGAAATATGCCACGTGACGGAGGTACTTTATTAGCACTTAAAGCCAAACCGTTGATGATCGCTCCCCTGAAGTATCAGCTTGGAGTGAATATCACTCAATCATCTGCATACAGTCGGCAGGGAGCTGCTATCTGCTGGCCGTGCACTTGTATCCTGTGCAACTCTTGTCATCTAACCACACAAGGATGAATTAAGTAGCAGATCTGGTTGCTTCCAAGTCACTTTTACTCACACTTCACTGAGCCAGACCATGTCATCAAACGCATCGCGCGACCCGCGCCGCCTCCATTTTTGATTTTAAGCATGCATGAGCAATGCAAAGGGTGCGGCGGCTGTCGGTGGACTCTTAGTGAAATGACAAGTAGACTTATGTGTCATCTTTAGTGGACTTTCACTTTAAATTTTCACATTCAAAGTTCAACATCGATGCAAATGGAAGCTCAGGTTCTGCAAAAAGGAGTGATCGTGAATTCTCCTTTGTAGGAAAATCTCTTCATCTGCAGAACTAAAACACTCAACGTTGTGTTTCAAGTGTCAGAGATTCTCTTTGAGAGAAGCCTTAATGTTTCTTGCATTAACTTTACTTTCAGCACAGAGACTAGATACACTTTTTGTTCTACAACGATCTAATTTAAACCAAAGCCAAATATTGATTTCTAGGTCATGCTAGGTTAAATCCACTGAAAACACTGAATCCACTTTACCTGTAGCACTTGTATCTATATTTTATTCAGATTAATGAACCCATTAGTTGGCTACAGGCTCTAAATTATTATTCTTATTTGTTAAAATCTTCTAATGCCTTTTGTGTTTATTATAAATATAAAGTATTCGTCTTCCCCAGGCTGTTTGCTGTGAACTGAACAAAAGGTTTACTGTGAGTTTGCAGTTGGGGAAAAAGATCAATGGTCCTAATCTATTTTTAACTATAATCCATAGTATATTAAAGTCTATGATGCAAGAGCCATAACAATATTTAATACATGATATATATATGAATTCTATAGAGTGAGATTATAACTATTTTAAACTTGCAATAGCTAACTTTTTGGTAGGATGAAGCGCAATAATAGAGACAATATGTCTACATGTGCAGTCTGTGCAAATGCACACGCAGGATCCTGCTAAGTTATGTTGTATGCATCCTGTGTACATAAAGTAAACAACGGAAGCCCTAAACGGACATCATTCAGACATTTTTAATGATGTTGTTATCTGGAGAAAGGAACTTCACGATGTAAATAGCGTAAATAACTAGTTAACACGAGTTAAACGTTGTTTAGCCTCATTGCTCATAATGTTTGAGTCAAGTCGACCGACCTCGTTGGAAGAGAAGGACTCGAGGAAGCGAATGGAAGGAGACATGGATTGTGAATTAGTTGATGAGGATACATAAAATATTAAATGAACTCTATTAAGAAGATGTAAAGTGTTATTTAAAATAACATTAGATTGTGCGAGCTTGGGTTGCCAGGATGAAGAGATTAAATGACTCAATGATACATTTCAGGCGACTGACACCTCTGAATACTTGAGATGCTTTTTTAAACACAAATTACAAAAATAATTCCTGATAATAATTGATGTATTTGTCTCTCGCTGTCACAATGACCTGAACAGTGTTCATTGGAGGATACGACGACCCAAACATTAAAAGTAACAAGAGGAAACAACCTTCTGGTTTTCTGTTGTCAGCGGAATAGTTACCATGCGATCTTGAGATAACGGCATGGAAGATATCCGTTTAGGGCTTTCGTAAGAAACGGTAACTTCCTGCCAAAACCTTTTACCAGGTGCCATCCACAGCGTGACAGCATGACCACAACGACGTGACTCTTTGACAGCGGTGTGTTCTGCAAATTGTGTCCTTGAGTTCTCAACTTGTTTTTGGCTTCATGTGTACGGTGTTTGTGAATTTATCTGCATTTAAAATGAAAGAGTGCAATGGGTATTATTTATTAACTAAAGCTAAAAAGATTTCCTTATACCTGTATGATTTTGCTGTATATGCTCGGTATGCCTTTTTGACCTGCAGTCCGTCATTGGTGGTGTCCGGTGGTGATCACAAGAGCTGCTTGAGAAAAGTTCAACTTATGCAGTTGCAGTATGACTTCAATATTATTATCATAAAAAGGGCCGACGTACAACGTTATTTTTCCCTCTCCAGAGACGTAGATGATATTCTGGTGTCATTATATCCGCCTCTCTTTTGTAGCAAGAATATATTGATCGGTTGTACTACGGCAAAACTTGTGTTTAAATCTTGCAAATTAATTCGTAGTGGTGATGAGTTTTGGCTTGACGTGTGCGTGTGTGAGTGTGTGTGTGTGTGTGTGTGTGTGTGTGAGAGAGAGATTAATATATCGGTCTGATTGACACGGCTGGTAGCAACAGGCAACGGTTTATAGTCACCTTTCTGCAGACCTGCGTCAAATAGCTGCAAGTAACTCTTACATACGTGTTGAGAGGTTTTCCAGTCTAAGAAACATACTTTTTGTTGCACTTGTTGGCGAAGAAAACACAAGTATTTGCAGTTGCTCTTTGATCCAGGTCTGTTTGTTTCTCTTTCCACCATCTTTGCATCCTTTTTGACACGTTTGTCTCTTTGCCTTGTTTCTCTGTAGCAAAAGTATTCAGACGTTGTGACCTCATGTTGGTAGATACACACATTGTTTTGACTGCATTGTACGACTTGACCTCCAAAAAGCACACTACTTGAAGTACAACTGGATATAAAAAGCTTAACTTTTTTTTTTTTGTAACATATCACCCACATGAATCATTGTCTGCCCCTTGAAGTCATGTCAAAATCTTAATGCTGTATACCCATGTTACATTCCATTGTTTTTTGCGACAGTGCTTATATCTCTGTGTGTGCTTACAGTATGATTGATTCTTTTCTTTTCCTATTCTCTTCTTTTGTAAAAAAAAGAAATATTTAAAAAAATAATAAAATAAATAATAACTCTCAACACTGTACATTATTTATGGAATAAAACATCCAAACACTTATGTTTGAAACTTCACCTGTGGATTTTCGTTCTTTATTGTCACACGCGTGCCTGTCTGTGCTCTGAATAAACCCATATGAATGTAACGAGAAAAGCCTTTTTCACACTATGTGACTTGATACATTTGCTCTGCATTACAAACGTGCTGGCAATTCAATGTCAACTATTTGATGGACTTGGTGGCTCAATGAACCCTCGGGTGACGATCTCTCCACACAAACTGACACAAAGTCACCGCGTTACGACGCGATCATAATGTTCATTCTGCTGCGGTAAAATCGTGTACAAGCAAGTAATGCAGAGAGAGGTTCTTCTATTCACGCCCACTTCTGTTTGAGATTCATCACCACCAAACCAATAATCACAGTTTAGCCAGTTGGCCGCCGGACTGCAAGAGACACCCCTCCTCCCCCGTGTGAGAAATGCCCTTCAAACGACCCCCAGAGTGGAGCGCGTGGATAATCACCAGAGCTGTGAGAACCCGGATTGTCCGACGGCTCGTCTGTTGGAATGATTAGTCAAAGGATTTCCCACCGGGGGCCTTTGGTCGGGTCCGTGTTCCACGAGATGGGAAATTCCCTGGGGACGACCGGGGATCCGTTCCTCACCCGCTCACTGCGCGCCACCGAGCGCATTTGGCCCTGATTGCGCTTTGGAACCGCCTTGAATCGAGCGGGGGGGAAAAAAAAAAAAAATGCCTCGATCGAATCCCACGAGGGCCGGAAGGAAGCGAAAAAAAAACAAAAGAAAAAAACCGAGGCTCCAGATTGGCGGAGCTTCAGGGAGCGCGGCCCGGGTTGCTGCCGCCCAACACAGAGGGCAAAGGCTCGCCCGATTGAAGGGGCCTCTCAGGTGTGGGGAGATACAGGTAACCGGGCAGCTGTCGGGCAAGTTGTTGCTGGAGACGCAACTGCTCGACTTCTTGTTCGGTGTCATCTCGGATTCATAATGCTCCCTTCTCTTTCTGTCCCCTCCCTCTCCTCCCCCCTTTCTCTCTCTCTCTCTCTCTCTCTCTCTGCTTCCAAGACTCATGGCCGTGGAGGATGAAATAAGGGGACCGCCCGTGATTGAGCCCAAAACCAGGATTTTCGCTGATCAGGTCTGTGAGACTGCTTCCTCTCTCGTCGAGTCCGTCGGATGGCCCGTGCTGTCTTCTCTGCTACCCCCCCCCCACCCCTATACGTGAAAATACGCAAACGAAAGCTGTGTCTGTGGGTGGTGTGTTTGGCCTATACGAGCAATAGCCAT